CCTGTCTGAGTAGAATTGTCTCAGCAAGTTTAAATGGGCTCCACCAGAGTGTTTGGCAGTTAAACATTTTGTTTAATGAGAAAGATTTTGTGAAGGGGTCATACAGTAGTTGCAATGATCTTAAAAGGTGGCATTTCTCTCTCTGTATATTTAACCATGTTGCTGCGATCTTTATTTTAATTTGACATCATTCAGTAGAGACTGTTGAAAGGGATAGAGAAACACTACAAGTTAGAAAAAGTTGTGACGAGCTGAAATGACACTAATATTTACTACCTGCCAGCACCTGTGATGAAATATTTGGCAGAATGGGAAGCACGTATAAGCCCTCCCTGTGGAATTGTCAAGGATTAACTGTTACCCTCTCATCTTTTGCTTTTACAGAGGCGTGAGAAGATTGAGAGGAGGCAAGCAGTTATGGAGACAGAGCTCAAGCTCTGTAAGTTTTCAGTGGCATTAATTGTATTTCTTGTTTTTACTTTATCTGGTCTTTGTTTAAGCTAATCTTGCTATCCTATTTTCATTGTCAGGGGACCCCCATAATGACTCTAATGCACAAGGGGATGCCTTCAAGACTTTGTTTGTTGCACGAGTGGTATGTTAAGATCACATTTTTCTGTTCTTACACCAGGTTTGTGGATTTAGCAAATGTGATTACTTTGTGATAGATGTTTATCTAATGGTATTCTGTCTTTGTTATAGAACTATGATACTACGGAGTCCAAGCTTCGCCGTGAGTTTGAAGTCTATGGCCCTATCAAACGGGTATGTTTAGCTGCTGTTTATGTGTACAAAACTAAATTGCTCAAAACTTGTATCTGAAACCTGAGGGACACATAAGCAGTCAACAATATGAAACATTGTTTTTATTTATTTGATTAAGTTTTTATTTTTCCAGGGTATTCCCAGTGAGATTTACAGCCTCTTTTTCAAGAACCTGACAAGATAGTGACAAAGTTACAGACAAGAAATGCAAAGAAATATGTCAGTGCCATATTGTAACTAATGGAAGAAATGTGCATAGTCACTGAAAAACTGACTACTTGTAAAGTGTCCTGCAACATATGGCACATTTAGGAAGCTTGTATTTAATTTGACAGGATTTGATTTAACTCTCATTGTGTGAGGCATGACCCTGTGTTACAGGCACAGACATGTCGGTGATGTGGCATGTAAATTTGTTGGGTTGTTACAGGTCTGTTTCTGTAATAATGAACACCACAGCCAACTTGTGTCTCTATGCCTGTTTGTTCCAGATATACATAGTCTACAATAAGAGGACGGGGAAGCCTCGGGGCTATGCATTCATTGAGTATGAGCACGAACGAGACATGCACTGTGAGTACCAATGTAGAGCACTGAGCCCAAACCAGTTTATGTGATCACACGTTGAAGAATGGGTGGTTCTTCATTTGAACCCCATTTCTTTTCTTCTATATGAATGTTATTGTAATGATATGAGGTGGCAGCTTTCTCTAACACCATGAGAAGGTGACTACTGTCTAATGAGCAAATTAATGGCTATGGTATCAAAGGAATCAGTGCTTACAGACATGCTGTGCAGTTTGCATGTAGAAATCTACATCTGGTGGTTGTGTGATGTGTGTGTCTGTGTTTGATGCATATCATCAGTTGACTAATAGTTGGGTCGAGGAGGGAAATGCTTGATTCAGTGGGACATCATGGGAAATGTGGGTGGACCAAGAGAGAACTGTGTCTTTTCATGTGTGAACCTGAACATCTTTGCCTGTCAAAGGGCACATTGTCTTTTAACTGTTAGGCATTGTAGCTCTGTGGAAGAGCAGCTCTCCTGGTTGGACTGGAATGGTAAGCACAAGGTCAGACTGGTCACCAAGCACCGAATGGGGGTTTTTACCGGAAATGTATGAAGGACTATATGGAAGCCTGTCTTGTGTATGACTAGTTATTCAGCCTTTTGACAGAGTTTGTATTGGTGGTCTTCAACCCTGGTCATGGTGAAACTAGTTCATCTTCACCACAATAGTAAGATATTTGAAGCTGGTGGTGATTCCACAGTGAATACTGTCTCATTAGACAAGGGAATGGTGCCATCTAACACAGTGACACCATTCTGGGATATTAGTGCAGTCAGCCCTTCAAGACCAGAGTTGCTGAATCACAGTTATGTAGTCACAGCCGGGGGTGAACTGAGGGAGTGTGTGGGGCTAAACGGAATATTAACTGTGTGTTATTCTCATTGCCACTGCAGCCGCCAATCTGTGATGGCTATTGGCCAGAGCTGGCTGGCAGATGATGATGGTTATGATACATCTACACCCTACTACCACAGCTCAGTATATGGTTGGTATAATGGGTTTGTATGATGGGTAAGATTTCTTTCCACCCTCCATCTCCTACATAGGGAAGAGGAGCTACGTTCAATGTGTAAAGCCTCTTTTATTGCAGTCCCTAAAGGGCTTTCAATGCAGTTATTACTACTTCGGTCTTGGGCTTTGACCATTGAACGCACCCCTAACCACTAGTGTGTTAAATGTTACCCAGTGATTCTGCCCTTTTATGTTAAAGCCACCTCGAGTTACTGAGCCCTCAGTCATAGCAGTAGCAGTACTATAGCTGTATGGAGGGGGATGCAAGATCTGTGGAAGAGATCAAAATGCGTTATTGCACAGTTGTCAGTCCCACCAGTTAAGTAGATCAACTGCGGCAGCTTTCCAGAAAAACAGTGATAGCAATTATCAGTCTTGTTGTATAGCACTAAATTAGTGACCTGTAAATATAGGTCTGCAGGAAAGAGACTTGTCTATCGAATTTAAACGTAATTAAAGAGAAATTTTCAGTGCCAATAAAAATCATATTTGAGTTTTAGTGTAGTGTTTGATTCTGGGTACTTTAAGTACTCTGTAATTGCTTGTGTAGGCAGGTAACTTGCATTCCACTGTCAACTGGTAAAACTGGATAATTATTGTGCTATCTCTTCGGTTAGGTTCAAATGTTCAGTGCACTACAATATGGTAAATGGACTGTATTTATATAGCGCTAGGACAATATGTAAATAAGGTGATCTTCATTAGCTTAATATAGTTCACAGTCCCATCTGTTGTAGAGAGTCTATTCTGAGAGGTCAATTCACAATACTATCCAAATTGATAAGTCTGAGCTGGCTTTAATAAAAAAGGCTGATGAGGGGAATTTTTTTGATAATTCTGCTAAACGGGCTATTCATACATATTTATTTACTACATAACTAAAGTTAGATACTAGTTAATGTAGTCTTGCAGATTAATTCATAATCCTATCTAAGAAATAATTGCTACAGTTTGATCTTATGACGTCAGTAAATAAGTGTAAAGCCCGGACGTCCTAAATCACTGACATTTTAGGCCACATTAGGACATGTCAGCATTAGGAACATGACTTTACTGAGTTCTTAGTAAATAAAAAAAAAAAATCCTATTAGTTGGTTGGGGTTGTGATAAGGCAACTCCTGTAAGGAAGGTAGCTCTGTTTTTTGTTTGTTTGTTTTTTGTTTGTTTCAGTTGGTCAGTTTGGGTAGGACTGGTGGGGGTTTGGTAAGGCCCTATTATTGGATTGGATGTTGTCATCAACAGGAAGTGGAGGGGATCTGGTAAGGCCCCTGTTAGGTGGTGTGATGTGTATTCTGGTGCTGAGAGATTTTGGTAAAAGCCTTAAGACTGGGGCAGAGACTGTCATAATGCCCATGAGTGAGGGATTATGGTAAGAACATGAACTGTATAGTCTGAGTGAGGGAGATTGGTAAGGCCCTCAGAATGTAGGCTTTGGTAAGGTCCTCTTGGATGTTAAGGTTTTCCCTTCAGGTATCGCAACTTCATCAGACCAGTGTAGCAGCCAGGATGAGCCGCCTGGATCTCTTCAAGTCCTTCCAGTGGATTGACAGACTGTTGTGTGGTATAATTCGGATGAAGTGTGAAAATACACAAGGGTTGGAAATATGCCAAACACTGAAGCCTCCTTGTTGATAAAAACTTCATACTGTTGGCTTCCATCATGACTTCTGTCATGTTGCTCTCTCAGGAAGCTTGTCAATTGTTTCAGCAGATCAAAATCACAACAGACTGAACATTTTAACAGTAACAGTGCTAGATAAACTTAGTTTGCCTGACGGATGTCTTGCTGTTGTGTATGTACACGATCACTTTTTCATTCAGAAATTGGAAGATCAAAGGTCAAAATCTAGTGTTAGTACTTTGCACAAATTGTAGATTTCTGTACTTTGTGCTGTGCTGTCCTGATTTTCAGTGAAATATTTCACTTGTAAGAAATCAAATTTGTCACGGGTAGCAACAGATGACTGCAATGCCAACTGTCCTAGCATGGGGGTTTTCAACCAGTGGGTCACAGTCCCCGGTGGTCTGTGGAGGCATTGTAGTTGGTCCGTGACCATACGTTCAAAAACAGTTTCACTATGGGATTCGCAATTTTTTAATATACATTTTTATGTTTTAATTATTGTTTGTGAATAATGACATTTGTGCAACTATGTAAAAGTTAGAAAAGCCAAAGTGACTTTCAAGATTAAATTAGTGATCGTCCAGTCTACCATCACATAACAGTGGTCCTCAGGCTGTTTCGTAATAACAGTGGTGGTCCCTGGCTTACTGTCAGTTGAAAACCCTTGCCCTAGCAGGTTGGGTTAAATATAAATGTGAAAAACAAATGCAGAATAAAGAGCTGTTTGAAGACAGTGTTTCACAAACTTCAGTTTGACTGTCTTAATTTGACATAAACATGTGAGCGACTGAACATCTATTAAGATGAGGCATAAACTGTCACTCTGCTAGTTTAGTAGTAATAGAGAAATTTGAAGTCAAATCCACCCAGTTATCTTGAGGATGACCTGGACAGCGTAAAGCTACAAGACTTCTTGACACACTATTATTTGATGTATACGGTGGAAAAAAAACCCCTGAAAGCTGGGTATTTAAATGATGCAGTTAAAAGTGTAACGTATCAGTCACTCAACGGGTGGAAGGAAGTCTACTCCCATTATCCTTCGGCTTTTACCCAGAGAGCAGCCATCTCGGCCTCGTCTGCTCCTGGTCAGTATAATGATGCACTGTTTCCTTCCTTGGCCACATGGATGCGGTTGTATTCCTAGCTCACTTTTGTCTTCCCTCTCAACATTCCTCTTCTCCAGCCGCCTACAAGCATGCAGATGGGAAGAAGATTGATGGAAGAAGGGTGCTGGTGGATGTCGAACGAGGGCGTACTGTGAAAGGATGGCGTCCTCGCAGGCTAGGTCAGCTTATTCCTGCATTGTCTTATCTACTGATTTTTTTCCCCCCCCAGATTTAGATTCTGCCTGTGGTGGTAGTGCATACACTTTCACAAGTTATTTATTAAATACTATAATACTTTAATCACTTGGAAGAATAGAAACAAGGCCACTTTGCTTTTACATCTTTCTGTTTGCACTCCATCTGACCTCTCCTGCTGCTTCAGCAGCACTGGATGCAGTTTGGAATTATTTGAAACTAGTGTTGTCACGATACCAACATTTTGGTACCGGTACCGGTACCAAAATGTATTTCGATACTTTCGATACTTTCGATACTTTTGGATAGTTTTTCAGACAAAAAGAGAAGGCAAAAAATGTCATTACTGACTTTATTTTAATAGAAAATCTTAGAATAACATCAAAATAAAATTCAAAATACTAGGCTTTTCTTATTGCACTCAAAAAAAATTTTTTTTTAGAACAGTCAGTGTGAGTAAATAAAAAGTATGAAGTTAGAAGTTCTAACTTAGAAAAAAATATTTTCATTACATATAGCCTGTCTTAAGTAGGACCAGTGTTTTTAAATGGTATGTTACCAGTCTTTATAACATATTAAATGGCTAAATATGTATGTAAAACACTGAACGACTGTGCTGTAACCACATTTAACGTTTTGAAAAAACACATTTTTTTATTAAAATTTAGAAAAAAAAATTCTATGTTTGATAAGAACTCTTTATCATGTGTTGCACACTTAAAACTATTGAACTATTGCATTTGAAAAGGGCACATGTCATGAGTAAATTACCTGTCGTTCCCTGAACTCAGTGTGCAGGTCTGGGTGTTTCCGCCCTTAGCCATGCATGTTTTAAAACATCGTTTACACAATGGCGCATCAACGTTAAATGCCTCTCCTTGCTCATTTGTTTTTATGCCGAAGTACTGCCATATAGCACTTCGCGCCCCTCGTTTGTCCACAAGTTGCGGGGTGGTGACTGTTACAGCAGCCATTCTCCTCTCTCTCTCCCTCTCCCTCTCCAACGTCTCTGCTATCTCCAAGCTTTCCTCCTGCTCCGTTTGTTGCTCCAGTCCACGCTGCTCAGTGAGCAGAGGACGAGGAAGCTGTTTCCTGCTCTGTTTTCCTCTGTTGCGGGCGGGCGCTGCAAGTACCGGTACCGTCCAAATGCAGTATAGTACCATTTTAAATGCCTCAGTACCGCGGTACCATACTAGTACCGGTATATCGTGCAACACTATTTGAAACCAATTAATTGGATCGCTAATCATACTGGTTTGGCTGTTCAGCTTTCCCACTTTTGTTAAGTTTACAATTTTAACTCAGTTTTGCTACCTTTGGTCCAGACTGTCTGCACCTGCAGAAGACAAGTCCTATGAGTCTTGGAAAATATTTTTCATTATTCCTCTAAGTGGGCCACACATTCAGCATTAGAGCTTTAGTTAGCATTAACTTTAGCCACTTGCAGAGCAGTCAGTATTGGCTAGCAGCTATAGTCGGCATGCTAATCTTGGCAACCAGCAGAATTCTGATTTTAGCTTAGTTATTTATTTAAATCAGTGTATGGGAAACGCTGTATTTGGTGTATACACACAACTATTCTGGTATTGATATTTTTTTTTTCTCCCCAAGCACTTTTGGCATGTGTGCCTTCAAAGTAGCCACATTCCATAAAACTCCTGTATCGGCCTACGAGTCATGTTTTATTTGTAAGACATCTTAAGTGAAAATGTCAGATAGTCATGCAGCCAGAGCAATGATGCACGTTGTGGTCATAGTTGTAAAATCAAACTGCAACATGCAGCGTCTCTCCTCGAGGTCAGTGTAACTCTGGAATTCACAGTACTGACAGGCAGTGGGGATGTTGTCATTACTCTTTCTTAATCCACTCTGGGCTGCAGGTCAGGAAGAGGGGGGGGGATTTGCTGCCTTTGGCAACTAATGTTTTACTCTTCAATTCATGTCATCTTGTCGAAGGGTCTTCACTTAACATGTTAACTAATGTTTTGCTTGTTTGTAACTAGGTGGTGGATTGGGTGGCACTAGGAGAGGTGGTGCTGATGTCAACATTAAACATTCTGGTCGAGATGATGCTTCACGTTATGATGATCGCCCCATCGGGGGGTGAGTATTTTCCAGAAATATTCGTTGTTTGGTAAAATTCTTTACTGCTGTGTTTAACTGTCTTCAATTTGTCCTGACTGATCATAGTGATCGGGACCGTGGCGATCGGCGGGAGCGCAGCCGGGAGCGTGACCGGGACAAGGACAGAGAGCGCCGGAGGTCCCGATCCCGCGAGCGCCGTCGACATACCCGTTCACAGGAGCGGGAGAGGGAGAGACCGGTTGCAGCAGGAGAGGAAGGTGTTGGTAGTAGCCGGCGTCGGGAGCGAGAGAGGGAGCGTGGGGGGGCAGCCGGAGGAGACAGCAGGAGCAGGGAGAGGAGTCGAGACCGGAAAAGGAGGAGTAGGAGTCGGGATCGTAAGAGAGAGAAGGAAAGAGGCAAGGGGCTGGATGGGGAGGAGGTCAGTCAAGGAGACGGTGCCCCAGAGGGTGGGGAGCGGATGCCGGAAGAACACGAAGGAGAAGTGGGTGAGGGCATGGAGGAGCGTAGAGACAGGGACAGAGAAAGGGACAGAGACCGAAGGCGTAGTCACAGAGATAGAGACAGGCGCAGGGGAGACCGGGACAGAGACAGGGAGCACAAGAGGGAGCGTGGGGAGAGAGAAAGAGGGGAACGCAAAGAGGAGCGCCACGGCTCTTTACGAGACGACATGGGCCCCCAAGATGACATGGGCAATGAGGATGAGGGAGGAGCACCACAACATATGGAGGAGTACAGTCAGGATGGGATGATGATGGACCAGCAGTCAGTGCCAGCAGCTGACGGCTATGGCTCCGGTGAGAATGGCTACAAGATAGAGCCACCGGGAGACGAGTACTGAGATCATCCCTCTCCCAGCAGACTCCCACTCATAAATAAGTTGTTTCATACTGTACTTTTAACTTGGCCCTTAACTTTCTGCCAAGGTACCAAAAGCCTAAGTGATGTCAGGGTTTCCTGTGTCAGACGTCCTGCCTTCCTCTCTGTCAAAGCTCTGTAGAACTTATCCACTTGATTTTTGTTGCACGCAATGTTTAATGCATATGACTGATTAGATTAAATTAAAAATTGCAGCCTTTCCGCGTTGCCCAACTAATCAGATTACTTTAGTGTTTCAAGTTTGGTTTTTAGGCCTCCCATACTTGAATCAGTAAAACAGGAGCTGTCAAATAGGATATTTTCTTTCATTTCCAGATTCTTTAGATGGTATGCTCATTTGAACCCAGTTACTCATGTCTCATTGTATGTGAAACTGAAGGTAATGTAGTGTTGTGTGACAGTTACAGGCTTTTTTTTAAATTCAGGAATATTTTTGGTCAGCTCTTTTTGTTAGATTTGCGGGGTCATTTTAATAAAGATGAAACTTAAAGCCAGAGTTTCTTCACTGCATGTCCTATAATGTTTTTGTTTTTACCTTCAAGGTGATGGTTTCTGCCATCACCATACAGTATGACATATAGCAGTAGTGGTCGGGAGGTTAAACCGCAGTATGTCATTTTAAAAAGTCAGTAACGCAGTAGTTACACATGTAACAGGCTACAAACATAAAAAAGCGACTTGAGAGTAATGCAAATTATCTGCTTATTGTTGCATGACATGGTAAAAATGTACATTTAACAGGCATCTGCTTGCGGTCCGCACAGCAGGAGGACTTTAAACATACGTAAAAGATGCTGGAGCAGCCCGTCGAAGTCACGCACTGGCGCTGCTGCGTCAGGTTTTCCAGCCTAGACCTCAGTTTAGCATCTCGGCCCTCCTTCAGATGCTCACCTCATTCTGCCAGCCATGACATTGTAAAAGATGCACCACGCATAGCTGCGAACCTGCTCTTCTGTGTATATATACAGCATTAATTGGAGAGCATCCAGGACGCGGAGGAACTCAGAATGATGTCTTCTTACTACCACCCCACCAAGGAGGCAGACATGGCAGCCATGACGGAGCCGCTCTGCCTGGAAAGAGGTAATGAAGTAGCTGGGGATTCACCATCCTACCATCAGCCTACTGGCTGAAACAAACGGTCCTGTGTTAATTAAAGGTGGCACTGCTGCAGAGTTGGCTCGTCGTCGTGAAAATTAGCGGTGTTTTGTTCTAACTTGTCTGTATAATAAAGCAGCATTACTGCACGTCGCCGTCAGTGTGCGAGCGTTTCAAAGGGTTCCGGCCTTTGGTTTCTCTGTCGTAGTGAGCGGCATTAGTAGTCTGTTCAGACCGCGTCAGTTCATTGTTCGTGGGCAAACATGCTATTCTCCTGCTCTAGCTGTAGCCCATGTCAAATTACTGGGTAAAATATATGTGGTTTCAGTAGTAGACTTCTCAATAAACTGTTTCAAATTCGGCTCCGCGCGCGTCCTGCTGTTTTCATTCATCCGTTCATTGTCAGTAGGACACGGGTGGGGGGTATTTCATCAACACCTGTTTCATAAAAGTGGCTCAGCAGAGCCGAACTTACTGTGAAAAGCCTGTCTTGAATTATTAACTGGAACTGAATTAATGTTTGATAAAGCCAGATCAGAGCTGATGCAGTTTTCGTGTGCTGAAAATTGACAGCAGACAAAATGGGTAAGATGCAACATGGTGTTTAGTAATATTACGATGCTGAGTTGGATACAAGCCAAGTTATTTGTTTTATAGCAAGAAAATGGAATACTGAATGTTTTCTAGAAAATACTTTACTCCCAGTTTGGAGGATATGTTTTCATGTTTAAATTAGCAATACAAAATTTCCTATTAACGTTGACTTACCTAAAAAAAAGCTTGGTTTAATTAGTCATCTTTATTTATGAGACAGGCCTCTGATCACTTTAGCTCCACTTCAGCTTGCTGTCAAAATGACTAGACTTTGTGTTAAATTTAGTTATAAATGGAGCCGAGTTAAAGCCTTTCTTGCTGCATAATGTGAGTAAAATATTGAAATCTATAAAAAAAATTAATACTTTCTGACCAAGTAAAATTATGCAATTAGTTTTGTATTAATTTGTACTCTTTGTACCATTCTTTTAATCTTATTTTGATTTAAAATAGTTTAATTTTATGAGGACTTATGATGTAAATGCTTGAATTTATTCTCTTATTGGTAGGTTACTGTGTGTGTCAGTGATGCATTTAAATTTCCTCACGTTTTACCAAATTCACTGCTGTAAATGGAGGCACACATGGTTTTATTGCAGCACAGGGGCCTATTCCTATCAAATCTTTTTAAGTGTCATTACAGTAATGAATTGTTGCATCTAATAAAAGTCCAATCCTTCAAATAAATTATCACAGCAAAAATTTAATGTATAGATTACATATGCTACACACAGCACTACACTGAAATAAGATTTAATATAAGTATTTTAAATCAATATGTGGCAGTCAATGTTGATACTCTGGTCAAAGTACTGGGAACACTGGAATGGCACCTCTGCACATAGATCTCTGTTTCTGGAACAGAAAACCTTGACTTTTCCTCAACTGAGGGTGAACAAACTTATTAACCCACTTTCTACAGTACCGCCATGGATGCATTCATTTACTGCACACACCAACAGTTGGCTGCACAGGTCACAGCACAGCGGCGTTCACAAATGCTAACTGCAGACCTCCCTCTGCAGTGCTCTGATGATTTGTGCTGCCTTGTTGAAAATGCTACCACAGTGTAAATCAACGGCAGTCTATCAGTTCCCATAATCCACATGTGCAGAACTACTAAGTAGCACGAATCAATAGGTAGCATAAATTGTCAGAACAACACACATGTGCATGGAGCCTTATCTGTAAGAAGAAATTTAACAAATGCAAAGTGCGTTAACAAATTCTCTGTCAGTGGTTCATTTTTATACTGATTTAAACACATCTGTTGGTTGGTGTTTGTTTGAAATAGGTTTTGTTTTGAGGATCATTGTTTTTTTGTGTATTTGTTGCAAGAATTTAGTTTGCTCTTGTTCATAAAATCAAAGTGCCAGCAAAGTGACTGCTTAGGAAACTTTTGCTGGTGCATAGATTTTTTTTACTACATCACTGTGAGTATTTCCGATGGTGTGTGACTGCTTAGAAAACAGACCTGAAATACTCACAGTGAAGTAGTAAATCTAGATCTTTACATAGGGCCTCACTCTGAGCTAGGATTAGGTAGGGGCCACCTTAAAGCCATTTACATTGCAGTGGTTATTGTCCTTTAGTGGTTGTTTGTTTTTGCATTCTGTTATATTACTTTCAAGGATTCACTCAACATGGTTATCATAATTGCCACACAGTGGCCTAAGGCCTGTGGCCGCTTCCTGGGGATCTTGGGTGTTCAGGGCTAAGTGGCTGCTTTGCCCTTTTGCTAATTCAGCCTTGTGGGTTTTTTGTTTCTGTTAGATGTGTGCAGGGTGATCGAGCTGTTGGACCGGCTCCAGCGGAGCGGTGAGCTGCCTCCTCCCAAACTGCAGGCCCTGCAGAGAGTCCTGCAGAGCAAATTCTGTGCTGCCATCAGAGAGGTATGGAGGTGCAGCAGAGTGTTAGTGGATGTCTGGGGACACAAATACTGGGGGAGCTCATTCAAGCCTGTTTCCACATCCTGAGGTTATACACAGGGTGTCTGTCACCTTGTTCACTCCCACACACAACACTCAGCTTCTGCCCTTGGTGCATTCGCATGTACAAACTAACTGGAGAATTTTATTTGGCTCAAGAATGTAAGTACAAACTTAGCCCTTTGTGTATCTTTTGACTGATCTGGTGGCTATCATCAGCAAATGGAGTTTGCTGGGTTTTCATCACATGATGTGTGTGTGGAACCTCAATCATGTAATGACAGGTGGCTATATACTGAGAGAGGTGGTCTCTGATGTCACAAGGGGATGTCCTCCTTTAATCCTGGTGGATATCTGACCTGTTTCAGCAAATAGTGTGATAGGGTTTTGGTCTGATGTTCACTGATGCTGTCTGTTTTTGGTATTCATTTGTTCATATCCAACTTTCAACAGTGCCTTAAATAATGAAGTCAGGACTGTTAGGGTCTGAGCTGGCAGGCATGAGAAGTGACTGGCCGAGCTGGACCCATAAAAGAGGTTGACTAAACAGAAGTTAAAGCAGGCTGTACACTGCCAACAGCCAGAAATTTCCTTTCCATCTTCTATATTTATGGATAGGCCAGTGGAATGAAGATACTTCAAAAGTGCTTTCACCAGTGGTGGAAGAAGTACTCAGATTAATTACGTAAATAAAAGTAACAATGGGTAAAAGTGCCACAAGTAAAAAATCTTGCATTTAAGTGACAAAAGTAAAAGTACTCATGCTAAATGGCACAGTTTATAATAATGGACATCATATTATTCAGTTATAATTATGGATGTGTTATTATGTATGCCCCATTTAATGTTGTGGATGGGAAGGTGGAGCTAATATTAACTACCTTTTATGGTTATAATGTGAATTATTGTTGGGTAGCTTGTGACTTTTACACCAAGGCTCAATACATTTTTAATATTATACTGTGTTTTATTTTATTGACCTCTTTCTGAAAAGTAACTAGTAACTAAAAGTTCCCAAATAAATGTAATGAATATAAAGTACAATATTTTTGTCTGAAATGTAGAAGTATGAAATAGCAGAAAATGGAAATACTCAAGTAAAATACAGATACCTCAAAACTATACTTAAGTACAGTATGTGAGGAAATGTACTTAGTTACTTTCCACCTCTGGCCTTTACAATATGATTAGAGATGGGCACATGGTACTTAAGCTCCAAATCTTGTTTCATTCCTGTGAAGTCACAAGTTCAACACATGACAGACGATGTATCAAAAAGACAAAACTTTAACAATTAATGGCAACAAAGTATCAAAATATATTAATATTCTTAAGAAACAAAATCTCTAAACTAAACATCTCAGTCCTGCAGTAACTGTACCAAATCATAAACAAATGATTAGATTAGATTCAACTTTATTGTCATTACCCATGTACAAGTACAAGGCAATGAAATGCAGTTTAGCATCTAACCAGAAGTGTAATAACAGCAGTGCAGAGTGCACAGTATCTACAGTATGAACAGTCAGAACTAATTTACCGATAGATATGTACAACTGATATTTATAGTAAGATATATAGGGTAATGTATGATGTCCAACAGACTATGGATTCAAATTACAGTAATGGACAGGTACATTAAGCTTATGGAACACTAGTGCAATGGGATGAAACAGTGCAGAATAAGAAGATAAGTTACATGAGTGAACAGTTCAATGGATGTAAATAGTGTAAAGATAAAGATAAATGTGGAGTATCTGGATATGAACAGTGTGCAAATGAATACAGAGCAGTATCCTGTGAGTAGAGAATGTGCAAATTAACAGATCACTTCAGTGATACAGGTAACAGAAGTGTATTGCGTTAGTCCCGAGAGGAGAGGTGAGAAGGGGGGAGCTGTGTGAAGAGGTACAGAGGAAGGCAGTGGGGGGTCGACAGGGGACAGAGTTCAGTAAGGAGACAGCTGTGGGGAAGAAGCAGTTCCTGAGTCTATTGTTTTTGGTCCAGAGGCTCCTGAAGCACCTCCCAGAGGGTAGGAGGTCAAACAGTTTGATAGCAGGGTGAGAGGAGTCCTTAAGAATTCTGTGATCACATCGGAGACAGCGTTTCCTGTGGACACCCTCAGTAGCTGGAAGTGGAGTCCCTGTGATGCGTTGGGCAGTTTTCACCAGCCATTGCAGCGCCTTGCGGTCATAGACAGAGCAGTTCCCGTGCCAGACTGTGATACAGCTGGTCAGGATGCTCTCGATGGCACAGCAGTAGAAGTTCACCAGGATGGCTGAAGACAGGTGGTTCTTCTTCAGAGTCCTCAGGAAGAAGAGGCGCTGGTGAGCCTTCTTGACCAGGCTGCGGGTGTTGGTGGTCCAGGACAGATCCTCTGAGATGTGGGTCAATGAGAATCGACATACTTATTAGGAAGCCTTAGATATGTTGGTAGGCAGACTTTTTCAGGGTTTCCCCTCTTTCCAGTCTTTATGCTAAGCATAAAGCATATGTCCTGAATCTAGCTCTGCACTTAAAACAGACATGTTTCTCAAAATGTTGAACTATTCCTTTAAGTGTTAATCTCCTGTTTGCTTGGAGGTACTGAACCTATCTTTGGAATCATGATTTATTTAATGGTTCAGGTTTTTTTGTTTGTTTGTTTTTTTTGTCTTGGATGTTGGCAGTGTTGTCCATCACCTGTGTGTCTCATGTATCTACACACTTACTACACCCACATGCTGATCTGACTCTGACTATGCTTTGCATTGTTCTCCTTCAGGTATATGAGCAGCTTTATGACACTCTGGACATTGTTGGAGGACCAGAGGTACGAGCACAAGCAACAGCCAAGGTATTACATGCAAGCCAATAACTAAAGAATACTTCATTACTGCACAAGAAGATTTTTTTTAGAAACACTGGGCCCTGTTTGGGAGGGGATCATATCATGCCAGCTCTGTTCTGTCAGGTCAGGGAGTGACTCCAGGCTGCATAGCTACTTTCAACAGTCAAATTAAATCACGATAAACAATAAAATGGAGAAAAGGCCCGACTTTATAATCATAAAACAACAATATTGCTGCCCTGCTGGGCCACCCTGGATCCCCCTAGTGGTGGCTTTTTCTCATTTTGCTCTGGTGCTGGAGGCTCTGGAGCCCCCTCCCTGTTCCTAATATTCATTTGCTGGTTTAAACCACCTTATTTTTTTCTTTATCTATTCATTTATTTATTCTTTCTTTCTTCTTATTCTTTTTCCCTTCTCCTCTCTCTTTCTCTACTCCCCCTCCCTTTTTATTACCAGAGTATGGACATATCCACACCACACACCTTCACACACAAACCACATGTAAAACTTCCCAACATTCTTCTGTAAATATGTCTTGTATCCATGTCTTGTCTTGTTACTGTGCTGTTTTGTTGCAATAAAAAAAAAACAAAAGAAAAGAAACACTGGGCCCTTTATTGTGGTAGCTGCACAAGCACAGCAACCAAGTGCAAAGTGGCAACTCCTGGACACACTGATTGCGTGGCTGGTCTCATGCTCTCATGCTGTTTTGGTTCCGCAGCACAAAGCGTAAAAGGCTGAGTGCAGTGAAATATACTGAGATACTCTCTCAGCCAGTCACATCTGAGCCAGTCACAGTGATGCACTATCTGAATGGTGCAGAGCGGCACAACATGAACACACAGCACCGCAAATCTGTAGCCAAATATTATTTTGTGTGCCAATTTAAAACCATCACCGGACTGAGGAGTGATTAAATAAAATAGTTTATTTGCATTTTAAAGGACAGGTTCATATTTTTCAGTCGGTCTTTAAAAAAAACCCTCACATTTCCATGAGAACACTGAAACAGGTTTTGCTTGCTGTAATCACACAATAACTGCTGTAGTGCCACATTAACCTTAGATAAACTTGGAAATATATATTTGCACAAAACACGGACTAAAGATTTTGTCGCTTATTGCTTATGAAACTTCCATTGGAAGCATACAGTCTTAGGAAGAGGGCTTTTAGTGGCCAAAAATAATTACAGTAAGCAAAACCTGTTTCAAAATACAAACAAAACCCTTTGTTCTGCTTCATTCAAGTGAAGCTCCCACCTGTTTGTTCCTCTTCTCCACCTGTGCACTATGTGCTCTGTGCTTGGCATCAAAATATCACACAGACAAGAAAAATGAACTTTAAGGTCTGGAAAATACCAAGCTGCTGATCGTGGTGGTTGTTGTGTAGAAAATAGGCTCCATTATGTTCTAACTATTTATAGACCACATTAATCTGACACAGGTTTGTGGGAACAGTTCAAGGATTTAACTGGAGATTAAAAGCATATGAATTTCTCTCATAACAATTTTTAAGCAGAATAGATGTTTGTTGATAATCTTACGGTTTCTTAATCCAGGCCACAGTGGCAGCCTTTGCTGCCAGTGAAGGCCACGCACACCCGAGGGTGGTGGAGCTTCCCAAAACAGAAGAGGGTCTGGGCTTTAACATCATGGGGGGCAAAGAACAGAACTCCCCTATCTACATCTCCCGAGTGATCCCTGGGGGGGTGGCTGACCGCCAAGGAGGGCTGAAGAGAGGAGACCAGCTGCTGTCTGTCAACGGAGTGGTGAAAAACTAACGCATTTTTATATAGAAGAATATCTATGCTGATAAATACAGTTATAAATGACTAATTCTATTAAATATGGAAAAAATACTCAGTCCTGCAATAAAGCAAACATCAGTTCTTCTGCTGCCCTTCTCAAGGCCATTTCAGTGTTTACAGAGTAATTGAACACCACACTTGTTTGCTGTAATATGTTCCACCATCCTCTTCTGGTTAAAAGTGTGTTGGAGCTGGAACGCAGAGTCTGTTATTTATTTATTTATTTTTTATCAGTTACCAAACTGCTTTATATGCATTACCATCACCCTGGGGTGAAGTAGGGCTGACCTTGATTTGGACGTATCCTAAGAAAAACAGTGGGTGTATCTGGGTATCTGGCCAGAAAAGACTAAATTCACCTAGGTCTATTTTTCTGGTAGCATCCTTTCAGAACTGTCCAGAACAACTGACCCAGACTTTAAGACACATCTGCTTAAGCTGAGTTCAGTCGTTTATATGAAATGAGCCATTTAGTGACGGGCCCTTTGTAGCATGTGGTCTGAGACTTGTGGTGTACTGTATCCATGCAGAGTGTTGAAGGGGAGCACCATGAGAAGGCTGTAGAGCTGCTGAAGGCTGCCCAGGGTTCTGTCAAGCTGGTAGTTCGCTACACTCCAAAGGTCCTGGAGGAAATGGAGGCTCGCTTTGAGAAGATGAGGAGCGCCCGGAGACGACAGCAGAACACGAGCTACTCGTGAGACTGCTCGTTAGTCCGCACCCAGTCACCACAGTTAATATATGAATGCGTACACAGCATTAGGAGGTTCCAAACCATATTGCACACCCATGCTGTACAGTATGTTCTACATACTAATTGTCAGAGTATTCTGTTTTGCAAAGAGTCAACATACATTTCCCTTCTATACCAGTAGGTATAGAAGACATAGGAGGTAGATGTAGGAGACATATCTCTTTGACAAACAGCTTGAGATAGCAGGAAGATGCAGAGTGAGGTGATCTGTTGTGAAGAATGTGGCCAAACTGTGTAGGTGTTTACACCTTTCTGAGATCTAATCACAATCTGGTCACGTTCTAGTTGCAGAGTGTGTGCTACATACATTTACATCTGCATTATTGCATGACTTTTTCCTGATCTAAATATGATATTCAGATACAGATTACATGTTAATGAGTTGTGGAAATGGGGCCTAAATTACCAGTAGCTGGGACTATGGGTAACTCATGTAAGTGCCCTCTTGTGCTGGATTTATGTCCTTCTCGTGGCATCTGTGGTTAAGTTCTCCCCAGGACACATGAAGCATTTAGCTTAAATGTATTTGCCACCAGCTAACACAAACATAACTACTGAAACATAGGCTCAGTGTGATGAAAAGTGTACATTGCTGTGGCCATGTCTTAGCCGTTTTTGTAATGTTGTTTTACAGCATACAGCAATTCTGTCTCTCTTGCTGCAGATCTCTGGAGTCCAGGAGCTAACTAATCTGATCACCTCATTGTCCAGTCCTCCTGACTCTTCTGTTCTAGTGGGAGAGAAGACCATAGACAAGAAGCAAAAAACCAAAGTAGCCTACCAACACCTGTTATCTGAACTTCTCCATGAAGCCAACGCTGCAGTTTAGGATTTTCTCCTCTCCTTCTTTCCTTGTTTCTTATTAGAGAAATGCTGTGTGAGCTTGTTGTCAGACCATGCCTGTAATATCACCTTCCCAGTGTGATATCATTTTCAGCATCTTACTGCATAAGGGCAACACATTTGGGGCTTAAGTTGAACCAAGCGTTTAAATTCTCAGTTTTACTTTTGCATCCTAATTTAGAGAGACTCACTATGTGCAGCTAGACCTCAGTACCAGAAGGGAACATGTAAGCTGACACCTACATGATACCTACAGCCTTCAATGCCATTCCTCCATCAGATGTACCAGCTAGAGGGCTAACCATTAGCAGGAAGAACTACACTGAAATCAGTGGCTTGCAAGTAACATCTTAAAGTTTGAGAATTGTTTTGCATTCATTTATTTGTGTATTGTATTAAGTTAGTTGCATAATTATTCATGAAATAAAGCCTAACTGTAAACATTATGTGCTTTCTTCTTTCCTGCATGATATGGGGCTTATTCTAAAATCCCCTTCCAGTACACACAGTTTAGGTTTGCTGTCTCAGAAATAGGATATTTAGGAAAATATTTTTTGATGGACATCCATTTTCAATCCCCTTATGTAGACATAACATTGAGTCCAAAGAGTTTTTGAAAGGTCATGACACAGTGAGTTTAAAAACCAGAGCTCTAGCAGTTTAAGTGTTCATGTTCTACACAAAAACAACCATACCTATTTGTTTCCACAAAACCCACAACTTGGGATCCAAGTAGGCAGCTCCTACTGAGCAACAGGTAGGGGGCATAACCTTGTGGTTATCTTATGTGTGACATGGAGGGTCAGGCGACACAGACACAGGGGACACTCACCAGCACTCAGTGTAGCATGGACAGAGTCAGAGCTGTATGAGACACTGTCCAGCATGGGTGTCTTTCATGTGGGGGAGTGTAAATAATGTAACACCGCTGTTTATGTTCAAAGTTAACGAGTGTCAGCCCCAAATGCATGGTTAAGCTGTGCTGTGTTCAGTGTTGTGCATAAACATGCTAAAAGTGCCACTCATTGAACACACTCATTATTCACTGAATGGTGAACTGAATAGATCAGTTTGCGACTAAAGAGTGCATGGGCGTCCTTAACATGTGGCGAACATGACTGGCAAAGACTTCATTCCCTTGATTTCTAAGATTGCTAGAAATCTGTGAGCTGAATAAAGAAGTTACCAATCTCTTGAGTTCCCCAAACAATAGCTGTGATAATGTCAGTGACAAAGAGATTACATTTCCTATGACCACTGTACAATGGGGTTTTAAAATTGGGGGGATCGTATAAATGTAAAAAAGCCACAACAAGACGAGTTTTGGTAGCATTAGCAGTAAACGAGAAGCTGCTCTGGTGCACATGGTGGCCCAGCACCTTCCTGAGACACTTTATGTTGGATTTCCTTTAGTCTGTCCCCTGTCTGTACATACATTTCTCACTGATGGAGTGTAACTGGTAGATAATGAGAAAAAGCTAACTGGAGAGACACACCACATTGTCTGGATAATTTCCAAAACCATATTATACCCACAAGTCAAATCTTTCAGCCTAGCATTAGGAGGTTCCAAACCATATTGCACACCCATGCTGTACAGTATGTTCTACATACTAATTGTCAGAGTATTCTGTTTTGCAAAGAGTCAACATACATTTCCCTTCTATACCAGTAGGTATAGAAGACATAGGAGGTAGATGTAGGAGACATATCTCTTTGACAAACAGCTTGAGATAGCAGGAAGATGCAGAGTGAGGTGATCTGTTGTGAAGAATGTGGCCAAACTGTGTAGGTGTTTACACCTTTCTGAGATCTAATCACAATCTGGTCACGTTCTAGTTGCAGAGTGTGTGCTACATACATTTACATCTGCATTATTGCATGACTTTTTCCTGATCTAAATATGATATTCAGATACAGATTACATGTTAATGAGTTGTGGAAATGGGGCCTAAATTACCAGTAGCTGGGACTATGGGTAACTCATGTAAGTGCCCTCTTGTGCTGGATTTATGTCCTTCTCGTGGCATCTGTGGTTAAGTTCTCCCCAGGACACATGAAGCATTTAGCTTAAATGTATTTGCCACCAGCTAACACAAACATAACTACTGAAACATAGGCTCAGTGTGATGAAAAGTGTACATTGCTGTGGCCATGTCTTAGCCGTTTTTGTAATGTTGTTTTACAGCATACAGCAATTCTGTCTCTCTTGCTGCAGATCTCTGGAGTCCAGGAGCTAACTAATCTGATCACCTCATTGTCCAGTCCTCCTGACTCTTCTGTTCTAGTGGGAGAGAAGACCATAGACAAGAAGCAAAAAACCAAAGTAGCCTACCAACACCTGTTATCTGAACTTCTCCATGAAGCCAACGCTGCAGTTTAGGATTTTCTCCTCTCCTTCTTTCCTTGTTTCTTATTAGAGAAATGCTGTGTGAGCTTGTTGTCAGACCATGCCTGTAATATCACCTTCCCAGTGTGATATCATTTTCAGCATCTTACTGCATAAGGGCAACACATTTGGGGCTTAAGTTGAACCAAGCGTTTAAATTCTCAGTTTTACTTTTGCATCCTAATTTAGAGAGACTCACTATGTGCAGCTAGACCTCAGTACCAGAAGGGAACATGTAAGCTGACACCTACATGATACCTACAGCCTTCAATGCCATTCCTCCATCAGATGTACCAGCTAGAGGGCTAACCATTAGCAGGAAGAACTACACTGAAATCAGTGGCTTGCAAGTAACATCTTAAAGTTTGAGAATTGTTTTGCATTCATTTATTTGTGTATTGTATTAAGTTAGTTGCATAATTATTCATGAAATAAAGCCTAACTGTAAACATTATGTGCTTTCTTCTTTCCTGCATGATATGGGGCTTATTCTAAAATCCCCTTCCAGTACACACAGTTTAGGTTTGCTGTCTCAGAAATAGGATATTTAGGAAAATATTTTTTGATGGACATCCATTTTCAATCCCCTTATGTAGACATAACATTGAGTCCAAAGAGTTTTTGAAAGGTCATGACACAGTGAGTTTAAAAACCAGAGCTCTAGCAGTTTAAGTGTTCATGTTCTACACAAAAACAACCATACCTATTTGTTTCCACAAAACCCACAACTTGGGATCCAAGTAGGCAGCTCCTACTGAGCAACAGGTAGGGGGCATAACCTTGTGGTTATCTTATGTGTGACATGGAGGGTCAGGCGACACAGACACAGGGGACACTCACCAGCACTCAGTGTAGCATGGACAGAGTCAGAGCTGTATGAGACACTGTCCAGCATGGGTGTCTTTCATGTGGGGGAGTGTAAATAATGTAACACCGCTGTTTATGTTCAAAGTTAACGAGTGTCAGCCCCAAATGCATGGTTAAGCTGTGCTGTGTTCAGTGTTGTGCATAAACATGCTAAAAGTGCCACTCATTGAACACACTCATTATTCACTGAATGGTGAACTGAATAGATCAGTTTGCGACTAAAGAGTGCATGGGCGTCCTTAACATGTGGCGAACATGACTGGCAAAGACTTCATTCCCTTGATTTCTAAGATTGCTAGAAATCTGTGAGCTGAATAAAGAAGTTACCAATCTCTTGAGTTCCCCAAACAATAGCTGTGATAATGTCAGTGACAAAGAGATTACATTTCCTATGACCACTGTACAATCATAGTAACTGGGTTTTGAAATTGTGTGATGCTATCAATGTGAAGAAGCCACAACAAGACGAGTTTTGGTAGCATTAGCAGTAAACGAGAAGCTGCTCTGGTGCACATGGTGGCCCAGCACCTTCCTGAGACACTTTATGTTGGATTTCCTTTAGTCTGTCCCCTGTCTGTACATACATTTCTCACTGATGGAGTGTAACTGGTAGATAATGAGAAAAAGCTAACTGGAGAGACACACCACATTGTCTGGATAATTTCCAAAACCATATTATACCCACAAGTCAAATCTTTCAGCCTTTCTACTTTCCACTGGTAGGGTTATTCTTTCTTTAATTCTCACACAGTCACATTTTTGGTCATTTTTTGACCACAGTAAAGCACCCAGCATCAGCTCACTACTACTACTGACATTTAATACCACTATAACTAACTACTAATTGAACTTCAAGACGTTAAACACATTTAAATTGCAGAGTTCAACTTCTCATGTCTGTGCAGATTCTCAGTCATCCAGGTCATAGTAAGCTGAAAAATTTAGAAAAAATCAACTGGACTAGGTTTCTAGGTCGGAAGTGTTCCACCTCTCATCCAAGAGGCTTCATCAGTGGTGGTGAAACACCACCGAGGGGGATAAATATAAATATCTCTGAGTCTACGACTCTCACCGATACTGGGCTATAAAGACTCAGTTGTTAGGGGACATTGTTGGCCTTCAAAGGACTGAAACACCACCGAGGGGCATAAATATCTCCTGCTCAACACCGGTCAGGCAGAACTGATGAAGCCTCTTGGATGAGAGGTGAAACATCTTCGACCTAGAAACCTAGTCCAGTTGATTTTTTCTAAGTTTTTCAGCTTCAACTTCTGATGTGTTCAACTTCACACACGAACTCAACAAATGAAAAATAACCAAACTCCTTCTGCCTGAGTTTAAAGAACAAAATAAAGGCACAACTTCCTTTCTAACAGCTGGTATTTTGGCCATTGCTGGCATAACATGAAACATAAGAAATAGAATTATCACAATATATCACCACAGTATCATAGTCTCACTTTGTGTAGTACAGTCTCATGCTGTACTTTATAGTATAGTATAGTATAGTATAGTATAGTATAGGTTCAACATGAAGTCTTACCACCATCTTTTTTCCTCTCCACTTGAACTCAAACATAAATGCAGCACATGATGGGTGGTAAAGTTTTCTTCTTCTCTGGGATTCTGCATCATTTATCATGTCTCCCCTGTATTCAACAACAAATTCTCCTTTGCAAATTGAACCATTTGCAAACACGTCCTGTAAAAGACAATAAAAACATTTTCAACAGGAAAAGTGATCCATTCTACCATTATTCTACCATTAGTCTATGGTAATATGTGATACAGAAAATACACATCTTGCAGGTAAAGAATGACAATTATAAAAAAAAACGTAACTCAGTGGATGGCAGCTGATTTGAGATAATTGGCAACAGTGTCTATTTAATGTATCTTGAAGTTCTGAATTAGATGCTCATCAGATAATAATTGTACATTTTTAAATGTTACATTCATCAGACATCACGTTACCTTTCACTGTGTTGATGTACTTCAACTCTAATTTGCATGCTTTGTCAGTCTTTGAAACAACATGGTGATGGCATCATCCTTAAGGGGGTTGATCCATGGTGGCATTTTAAACTGCAGCGAAATTATAAAAAAATGTTTGCATTGGTTTCAGTTACAGATTAAGGTTTTTAAAGTTATTAGCTATATAATATTTTGTGTAACAGTTATGCTCAGATAGTTAAACAGCAAGGGATTGTACACTTTTAGTGTTTCTCATCCCTCTCAGGCTACTGCTTCTTAAAGTCATTTTAATAACGGCTGAGACTCAAATGGAAAACAATCTGATATTGAGAGGTATAAAAAAAAAACTCTTGTTGTAGCCTAAAACCTCAAGGGGTTATTTATGTTGCAGGATGCAAATAGACACCCTGAGAAGCAGACACTTTGTGCAATATATAGTTGTGAAATAAACTATATTGTAATCTGTTTTGGGTTTTTTTTTGGACAATGTAGTGAAATAAATGACAATGTGAAACTGGGAGACATGCAGAATCAACCAGGTCTTTTCAGTAAACAGTGAGAAAACATAAATACCTGAAGTCAGAATTTGTGGTCAGTTAAATATCTGGCACAAATCTAGCCTTGAGGGTAGCAATTCACACATGCACTGTATTTAGTCTCAAATCTCTCACAAAATCATGTAGAATCTGGCCCTATTTTCCCTGGTAGCCACAGGCAGTTATTTAACTAATTTGTACCTTAACCTAACTTCCTCTATCAGACAACCTCACGTTACAGATCTGTTTATTTTAATTTGTCCAAATCATTCATCGTGACAGAAAACTTTAATCCCTGCTTTAGTTAATTAGGTAGCTAGTTAATGTACTTTCAGCCACAGTAATATGTTATTTGGCTAGTATTCAATAACAAATCCATGTGGTGTCATATAAACATTTTTTTGTAATACACAGAACACTGTTGGACTAACTAGCTATGCTGCCAACCAATGAAGCAATTTTTTTCCAATTTGAGGGTTGCACACTTATTACACTGATTTGTCATACAAATGTACTTACCTTGCATTTCACTTTTGCAAATTCTTAGCTATTTAGTTGGCATCTCCTGCTGATGATTCATTTGTTGTCTGCATTGTTTACTGTCTGTTTATACTGCTTTTTCTGCATTGTTTGCACTGTTTGTTGATGTTAATACTGCTATTTTGTTATATTACACAGCCTTATGCTGGTTTACTGCTTGCACATTGAGAGCCGATGTACCTGAGTCAAATTCCTCGTGTGCCTGTCACACCTGGCCAATAAAGCAGATTCTGATTCTGATCATCTTCTTCCTTGTCCAACATGTGGTTTGCCACCTTTTTTTTTTTTTTTTTGATTTTTTGATTTATTCTTTCCAGCTTGTAAAAACATTTG